CTGTATAAGAGTATAAATTTTTACGTGTAAAACTGGCCATTCATTGTATATAAAGAACATGTTTTCGAATTGTGCAACATAATCAGATTCAATCTGTAAAAATTATTGAAAATGATCACATATATGTCTTCTACTAATTTTTTAATATAGCAATATTATTATTAAAATATTCACTAATGTGTAATTCTGTGGATGTTTCAAAATGGACCATTTAAAAAAAATAATTGAATATTTTCATCCCATTTAGCCATATCCTTATTCTGGCAAGTTGATTTGTCTTCCAATGTTTAACAACATCAGATAGTTTTCTATTATCTTTTAACCATTGCAGATGAAGTTCGCACAATTTTGAACTATAAATGTATATACATACATATACACATACATACATACATATATACATATATACATACATACATACATACATACATACATACATACATACATACGATACATACATACATACATACATACATACATACATACATACATACATACATACATACATACATACATACATACATACATACATACATACATACATACATACATACATACATACATACATACATACATACATCGTACATACATACATACATACATACATACATACATCGTACATACGTACATACGTACATAACATATATCATACATATATACATACATATATCGTACATATATACATACATATATCGTACATATATATACTTCGTACAGATACACAAGCAAACACAAAATGTACACATTGTGAATACATATGATTAGAGATCACGGTTAGTATGCTTAAATTCGTGTAATATTCGATAGTAGAATATGATTCGACATTCAATCAGTCTACAAATATGTGAAACATCATTAAATACTTGACATGAGATATTCGGCTCATTGTTCATTCTGTTTGATTATGTAATGCCATTAGGCAACGATACTTGGACGCGGGTAAGACTCGCGTGCAACTAAAGTATAACTTAATATACGAGATTTGATACATAGCTGCGCTATAATTGAACAGGCATGTTCTGCTCGAAAGGTAACACAAAAAATCGATATAATTTTTTCTTTTTTTTTTTGAAAAAAGTAATTGAAAATTTTCTTGTTATCCAGTATGTGCGTACTTTACGGTAGGATATATGTTACCAACGTTATATTTTAATCCAAATGTTGATCCTAATTTTAGCCTGTCTATTCTTACGATAATGTATAACAATCTGTCAGTCGCATTTCTTGCAGACGAAAAAAGCATTACTCGATGTGAAAAGCAAATCGACTATTCGCGACAACGTTTCAGAGGAGAATCAATTTTTGACGATTGCAGCTGCTTTACCAATTCTGCCAGGTGCACCAATACCTCCAAAATTGTCAAAGCGTTGTTATAATTCTTTTAGGTAATTGTCTCATAACTTTACAAAGTAGCAAAGCTTGGTCATTTTATCCAATTGACAAATTGACTGATAGTAATTGCCTTGCTATTAGTAGTTGTACCGGAACCACCCACTTTGAAACTGAATATGCAGAAACTGAAGGATGCGATGTGGTTATGTTACAATGGACAGGAGAAACGAGAACAATTGTGGCATCAAGAACTCCTGCCGAACGAGAAAAGAACCCTGACAGAATATGTCTTGATAGACGAGGTCTGACAATGTTCCCTAATATAATTGGAGAATCGAAATTGCGATTAATGTCCCTTCAGCATAATCTGCTAACAAAAATTGAGAGCTCTAACTTTTCTCAATTGACAAAACTTGTATTTCTTGATTTGTATGACAATCAAATAGAAAAAGTGAACGCTCTTGATCTTTTAGAGAATCTAAGAGTGCTTTTAATAGGGAAGAATAGAATAAGAAAAATTGAAGGTTTGAAACAACTTTTTAAATTGGAAGTTTTAGATTTGCATGGCAATCAAATTCAGCAAATTACGGGTTTGGAAAATTTGTCATCGTTAAAAGTATTGAACTTAGCAGGGAACAATATCAAAATTGTAGGTTGCAATGATTTTCGAGGCTTAACCTCGTTAAAAGAGTTAAATTTACGTCGTAATAAAATAAAAAAATTACTAGGATTTGAACAAACACCACAATTGCAGAAATTATATTTGAGCAACAATGATATATATAAGTAAGTATTTCTACAATGAGAGTTTTATTTGTAGCAAAAATCTTTATTTAATTCAACTGTATATATGTATGTACTTGTATATGGCTATATGCACATCTATACGTACATTTATATCTACAAGCTTGATTTTATATCAGTCTTAAATACTTGCATATATAAATTTGTGAATATGTGAATGTTATATGAAAGTGAATCAAAATGATTTAAAATAAATGTATAGAGATTTCTTTGCATTCTTAAATCCAAAAAAATATATTTAAACATATCATTTCTGATGATTCATTTTGCAAGGAAATCATTTAGTATGATATCATACTGTATAAAATATATAAGCTTATATGCGCAATAGGCCAAAGTTCTTTTGACATTTCAGAATCGAAGACATGAGTAGCCTTGCAAAAGCCTTGCAAATTAAAGAAATAACGATAGATGGCAATCCAGTGACTTTAAATACCGATTATATTTCTTTTTTCGTTTCGTATCTGCCGAATCTGCAACTTTTATCAACAATGCAAATTAGCGAACAAATTCGAAGAACGGCCATGGCTTGGAGATTCTCTAAGGAACAATCAAATTCGGCGTTCCTTGATCTTAGTGCGCAAGTTTGTATGAGCGTACGTAGAGAAGAAGTGATATCAAATGCTAAGACAAATTGGGAACTTCTCAGATCTAGAACTAGAGACTCGCTTCCAGGCAATTCCAGCAAAGTGGCGAGTGATAATACAGACCGCGATATTAATATATCATTACGTACACATAGTTCAAATAAATTTAATGCTGTAAATTGCTCAAAGATAAGTTTAGACAAGACTAAAGTAAAAGGTTTTGGTAGTTTAACATCGATAAATGAAAATATGGAAACCCGTAAAATACATATAAAAAAGAGAAGTAGTTCTAATGAGAATTTATTCAAGTTGGAAGATACGTCTAAGTCATATCCTTTGGAATTTAAACTTCCACCTATACTAGGTTCAATAGTAAATAGTTTAACAAATAATAAATTCGAGAATACATTGTCCAAGAATAATAAAGAAAACGATCGCAAAATGATGGTACTTAATCAACATGTCGAGAGTGTATCGGACAGTGAGACAGACAGTTCCCAAAGTCACGGAAGTTTGAAAAGTGACTTGAGGTGTCATTTGTTTATTCCTAATGATTACAGCTCGTCTACAGATTATGATAAATCTGCTATGCATAGGGATGTATCTTTGATTGCAGCAGAAAATTTTGACATTGGAGATAACGAAAACCATGCATGCGACAAGATAGCACTTGCTACAACTCAAACTTGTTTAAAGCATTATGATACAAAAATAAACGAAAATATAGGCTTAAATAATAGACAGTTTCAAAACGTAAAAGTAATTCATGGTCAAGATGGACAGAGCGATTGTCAATCAAGATCGGTTGCAAGTTCATCTGGGTATTACTCTTTAAATTCAAAAACTAATAGTCTAGACAGTTGTAAATCATTGTTAAATGATCCTAGTGCTTCATCGGTTCCTAAGGACGTCCGCAAGTCTCACGAATGTGATAAGGATAAAGGTAGAATTAAAAGTGCTCAAACGAAAAAGGTAATATATAAAAGCAATAGAGCTGCAACAGCTAGAGCAAAATTTAGAGCTCTTGCTTCACCAAGTCCACCTCCTCAACAAATGCCATCGAAAGAGAGAGAACAGGGTAGGCTAAGATTTTAAATTAAATTTTTTCAAACAATTTCTCTCGCGCAAGTTCATTTAAAACGAAGTATAAATTGAGACAATCTTCTAGGCGGAGATTATTTAATAGAAATTGTTGGTCGATGCCTGAATGTATATGGACAAGGTGCTTTACGGTTTATAGATAGAACTTGGGATGTGTCAAAGGCTCATGATGTCAACATTGTAAAATTTAATTATGTACAATTTAATGATGTGGCAAAAGTCTTAAGCAAATTAAAGAATAGATTTCCTCATGCAGAACATTTCGTATTTAAAGAAACTAATATTAATCTACTTGGTCAACTGAATGCTTTGGCTGAGATACAAGGATTGACCAGTATACAGATAGATACAGGAAATCCTATTGTGTCCAAGAAATGGAAAATGTATGCTATATTTCGATTAGCTCATTGGGGACTTTCAATTATCAATGGCAAAGAGGTAATATACATAACAATATAAAATTAATAAATTGTTTAATAAAATGAAATGTGATCCGTTTATAACGTGTCTGTGTGTACGCACCATGAGCACGCGCATAGAAATTGACTACTTTTAGTTTACTTTTTATTTGGTTCTCTTTTGTCTTTCCTACAGAATTTGTAAAAACATTTAATTTGCATTTCACATGTTCTTTATAATAAAAAGTTTAATATTTTTTTAGATTACAGCTGAAGATGTGGAACTTGCAAATCAAGAATATACCGGTCTTATAGATATAGTAATGCATTCACTGCCAGATTCTTTATTACAACCTTTATTACAAAGACTTCATTTAGAAAAAGTGCAAAGACAAAGTGGGGATCAAATTACTGCCAAACAATTTCTGTTCAATTGTGATCCGGTATTTCGAAGTGTAGTTGCTAAGGAGGCGTTACAATGGAGAAAAGGAAATATAATGCAGGTAATAAAAGTAAAAAACATATTTTTTAAAACTATATAATTTATGCCAAATTGTACATTGAATGTAAAATATACATAATAATACATAACGTAAACTACACAAAGTTGGAGTGTCTCTATGTTTTGCTTGTAGGAAGATCTTATCTGGAGACATAAAGGGAAAGTACATTTGCTAAATTTAATCAATCTCACTATAAGTGCTATACATAAATTACAGATTCTAGAGAAACAATGGCCATGCGTTCTGTACGAAATCGTTTACAATACTCTATCCGATTTTTCTAAGATGGATGTGTACATGAAACATTGCAGCAAAATGCTCGAAAGCAATAAATGATATTATATCCGTGCCTTAAAAAGTATATATAAATATATATATCACGATATTATGTAGTTTATGATTTTTAATTTGATAAAATATTAGAATCATAACATTTGTTGCATTAGTTTTGGAGCATTAATGTGAAATGTACGTTTGTAACAAGAGTGACTTTATACTGTTATTGCTATAAATATATTGAATACGTTTGCTAGAATCGTAATGTTTATATAAAACAATGAATTGTATATAAGTATTGTTAATATTTCTTTTCTCGAATATATAGCCAATAAAAAAGAGAGTTCTTTATTATGTAATATACAAGAAAGAAAAGTGTATTTTATTAACATATAATTTCTTTTAAGAATAATTTACATAATGTTTATAAAATTGACCATTCGATTTATATGTACTATTGATAAGATTATTCGTTTACAATTAACCGTTTGAATATCAAACTTGAGCAGTAGCAATTCATTTTTTTAACAAAAAATTTTGCGTTGTTGCTTGCTATATGTCTTGCAGTATGTTATGCAATATGATATGTATTGTGAGTATAAATACCGTTGGCAATTCTCAAATTGCCAGGAAAAAAGATAATATTATTTCGTTTGTATTCAAACGATTAAAAGAATAGAATAAATAGGACATTATTTCGTACCAATGATAGATTCCACGCTAAAGGAAATTGGCGCTTTTTTTTCTAGACGAGGTTTATTCGTAGTGGGACAGTTCTGTAAATCTCCCGTAGAAATAAAATTGTTAAAGTCCCCATTCGCTTTGTACGATTGCGTTACGTCATTGAACCATGGAATTGTTGGATACACAGAATGAAAAGATTGTACCTTTAATTTGGGTTCAGCTTTTTGTCTTGGATCGCATCCCAAAGAAGACAAAGTGCTCAATAACCGTGGATGTGCTGATACTGAAATGTGCAATCTTTCATAGTAAACGTTTGCTATCAACAAATATTAAATAAGTATAACATACGATCGATTTAATCATATATATTGATAATTGATACGAAGACAATTTACAACGAATGCTGTATGGCAAAAAGGTTCTCTTATGTAGGGAACGTTTTACGAAGGAAGAATGAAGAGCTCGAATATACATGGATTAAATTTATTCATAAACAGTCACCTAAGAAGGATATAAAGTTCACATAAGAAAATTCAATCAACATGTCACAATTTATAATGTTCTGAAAGATAGCCGATTACATTTGGGATATGACTAACGAACACCAGTGCGTATATTATAACATCGCGAATATCGATACATCCTAATATCTTTTTTTTTCTTTTACGATCAAACCAAAAAAGATCTGCGCTAAAGAATTTCAAGTACTTACATGCCCTAGGTAAAGTGTGTACAGCATTTAATCCGTAGAAATCTTGCGTCACGCTGATACTCGTCTGCGTGAAATGTAAATGATGCCTTTGAAAATTTTTGGTTCTTCTATCGCAGACAGACTCATCATACTTTGCTTTAATACAATAAGGACTTACGGTGTCCGTTGATACTTGATTTATTGAAGATAAAAGATTGTCGCTTTGCGCTTGTTGTTGTCTACGTAGAGCAACCTGCGCTGCCATTACTCGCTGTCTTTCGACGACTAGAAGACAACAGGCACATCGGCAATCTTTCCACGCACAGGATCTTTTATGACCTTTCAAGCCAGATATCACCCCGTGATTTCGACATCTCGCGCATTTTGGACTTCTTAAACGTTGCTCCACATTTGTATTCGAACGATTTGAAGTACCTCCGCCAGTTTTCATTCCGATCTTCATGTCTTGAGAAAGGGAGAGAGAGAGCGAGAGAATGACATGTGCAGATTATATTCACGTCAATGGAGTTTCGAGATAAAATCTCAAGTTGCGTGGTTACTAATTACAAGAAATATTACTTTTAGGTTTTTTCCCAATTATTTAACATGCTTATCCCACAAAGTATTTAATCGCATTTCATGATGAAAATGCGATAATATAGCACGCTAACAAGTTGCGCAACTCGTTTCAATTAAAAAATTCATTGTCTTTTCGGCTAAGTTGTATATTTATAGTATTCTAGATGTAGAGTGCTCTCATATCTCGTCGCGCGAATTACCAATACCGTTTCGCACAGGATACCAATCGTTCTCTGTCTCGTATCAATTCTCAAATCAACTTCGTAAACTTTGTGTCCTATCACACTTTGTGTCAGATGCACGTTTTTCGTACGTACAGTAGAAAAATTACTTCTCGTTATACATATTTCTTTTCCATCATCTCAATAAAACTTGCTAGAAAGATTGCCTTTTCGATATACGACTTGTCTAATATTGAGTTTGTACTCTTGCTGTACGTTTGTTGAACTCTTCTCCGATACTTGGACTGAGTTATCCCGTGACTCGCTCGAATAGAGATACGTACTTGTGTGAATATTTCTTGTTGGGAGGTGTCGTCTCATCTCCTCCTACTGATTTAAAATGTATTTTTAGAAAGCCGACCGTATTCCCATTGGCTTGAAAGCTCAGGAAACTCCGCCGCTTTCCTCGACTGCGAACCAATGGATCACTATGTTTCTCTTCGCGTTCTTATTGCCAGTAGCTCTACGAAAGAAGAATCATTCGTTAACGAGATGGTTTTGATTATATTTTGCAAGATGGAAACATATCGATGCCTTGTCAGACCCGAAAGTTGACGTGTATACACATATGCACGCACATGGGATAAAGTTTAAGTATCTCGCATCTATCATGTGATGAATCAATGAAGTTCACATCAAATTAGTTTTAAATTAACAGTCCATTGATATCGATTGTTATTATTCACTTAATGATCACTTGGAGAAAGTTGGAATCTTGTATAAATCTTATATTGAATATCCTGACGTATCTCACTTTCGATGCGATGGAATGTAAATTTAAAATTTTGAAAGCGCCATTTTTTTTTATGATTCTAGATATACATTTGATTTCTACATTTTTTCATGCTATCTAATTCTTGAATAATAAACGCATAAGAAATATTTTTCAAATATGTCATTAAAGAAAAAGGGAAATACCTTTAATATACAAATAGCAATAGCAATATACGAAAGCTGATGAAGGTAATTCCTTCCTTTTTGTCCTTTCAAAAATAACATTGAGTATACAGGATGTTAACCAGGTGGTTATTGAGGAAGAGAATCTCCGTGGGTGGAAGCTCACACACGGTGTCACTCATACATTGAGAAAACATACTCGAAACTAATATTAACTGGTGTGTTGGCAACATCCGAGAGGATCGTAACGAGCTCTTAAAGCAAGATCACAGAAAGAATGCCATATGGTTGCAGCTGCTGGCGCACAACGTTGTTAGTAGAGAAAGAAAGAGAGAGAGTGTCCATTGTCTATTTTTGCGGTGCATAATACCATCTCGTAAGCAACGAAAAAAATTGCGCTATTATATTGACCAAGAATGCATTAGTGGGCTATTAATTATTGCTGATGATATTAAATAACGGTACACTCAAATTGTTATACGGTTTCTATCAAAGAAATTCACATTAGAGAGAGAATATTAAATTTATTTTTTAAATTTCAAATATGAAAAAAAATATTCCATTATACATCCATAAAATTCTTAAACCGAGCATGCGTGAAAATTTTTGAAAAGAAATGTAAAGTGAGTTTTTTAATTCATCGATTGATTAATCGCATATTACGTAATGTTGTAACTTTTATAGAGCAAAGTTGCATTTGCATATAATAATTCAATCAATAAATTAAAAAAACTCGTATCTCTTGAAAGTGTGCGCATGTGTGCGCCACTTTTTTCTTATATTCCCTTTTCGATCAACCAACTGATATGTATAATCGTACGATAGTCTTGATTGCGCAACGTTCTTTGTTGGCAATATTTTACTTGGAATTAAGCGAAAAGCCTCATGTGTAACAGTACGTTATTTTCCATGGAATTTTTTTCTCTTGTCCTAAAATTGTGCGGTTAGACAAGTTTAAATTTACATATGCACGCACGCGCGCGCGCGCGCGCACACACATGACACGCATACGTAGCAGATAGTATAGCGAGAGTAGGTATGCGTGACACGTACCGAGGAATTCATCTTAATGAGCGTGGAACGAAGGGATGTCATTTTGGACGCTTCTTTTTCTTTCTTCCCCTCCTTTCAGTGGACAGTTCTGTCTAAGGGTGTTGTCAAGACGGCAAATATGTTGACAGGTCATTCAACATCTTTCTCGCCTTAGTCGCATGATAAAGTCACGAGTAAATTGAGGAATGACCGAGACGAGAACTTATGAATATTCCATAAGAAATACATTATAAAGTATTACAAGTATTAAATACATTATAAAGTTCGAATTGAAACAGCTTCTCTTTGTCTTTTTCTTATCGTCGGTAAAAAAGTTGGAAAAATTTGATGCGACAATCATATATGTTAAACGAAACAGCAATACAGCGATAATAATATCAATTTTATGAATAACAAACAAATTAGCTAATGCAATGACAATTTTCAAAGAGAGATTTTTAACGTGTGTTGAAAGATGCCATTTTTCATTTGTTTTGTTGTTTATGTAAATAAAAATTTTGCCTTGTACAACGTGGATTTTAAGTCACAAAAGAAAAAATAGGGCAACAGCTTTGGTTAAATATCGAATTGTATCAAACTTGATAAATTGATGAATTGATCAATTGGTTCAATCGGAAAAAAAATCAAGAATTCCGTATCGCGATGTTATATTGCACCATCAATTTCGCGTGGTATCTCTTGAAAAATTTATCGGATTTACTGGGATTCTATTTCTTTGTTAATTTCTTGAAAAAAAGTGAGCATTCTTAATACATAAATCAAGCCAAATTATAATGACGATAATAATTAACGATATCAGAGATAATCCTGCTTTTGTCCGACAGAAGAGCTGCGCGTGTGATACTAAAATGAGAGAATTACTAGAGAGAAGAGAGAAGAGTGAAAAGTGAGAGAGTCACGCTGGTCATATGCGCCCGTCTTTCTTTTAAAGCTTTTATTTCATCATATAAAATTTTATCTTTCTTTCATGGAATAGCACGTAGTATAATTTGGAAAAAGTGTAGTGAATAAGTATAAGCGCGCTGACAAGTGTGTCTCTCAAGATTGTATACTCAGCGAAAGTCGCAAAAAAATTACGCTTCATATGATCGACGAGATATCATAATAATGAAATTATATCGAAATTGATGTAATGCAAGCAGTACTAATTTCTAATATGTTAGACGACCAAGTAAATATAAATGCGTGAAAAGGTAAGTGGATGAAATACGAAATTTTAGCACAGCGTGCTTTGGAACAGCGTTATTTTTTGCATATCTCTACATGTAATTTGCTTTATTATTTAAAGAAAAATGAATAATTGATGAAAAGGAGAATGAAAACTTTTGTGGAATTTTTGTGGAATCTCAAAATATATGGAAAAATGAATAAATGAAATCGAATTCTATGTTTACTAAAAAGAATACTCATCTATCTTTTTAGTCAGTGCGAGATATATACACAAAATTATAATTACCTACGTGAGCGCAACGAGTCAATGCGACTGTGAGTTTTCCTTGTTCTTCCATTTAATTTCCACTGAGCAAAAGTTAAATCATAAAAGTTATGCATTTTAATAAAAGATGTACAACATGTATGACATATAAATTAATTTACATAAATCGATGTAAATTAAGCTTGCTAATTCTGTACTAGAATGAAAGATGATAATTTACTATCAACGGTTTTAAATGAATTTATCAAGCATGAACCTTATCCGAGAAGCCGTCGTTGCAAAAGGAATTCTTGCTAAGAAAGAAAAATGGTAACACATAGAGAGATGTGCCAATGAGAATGTGTATTATTTTCTAAAAAATGAGCTCTTATGTATCTAGAAGGCTTCATTTTTTTTATTATTGAAATATTCTCTTTGATTCATTCAATCATTATCAAAGAATGAAGGCGTAATCTTTTTAGAGAAAGCGATAAAAATAAATGAGACGGGGAAGAATATTAATTATATGTCTCAATTATACGCGAAACGTTGAAATTACATAAAAGATAATTGTATTTTGTATCTATGCTACAAAATCAGATCTGTGTTGTTTCTAAGCAAAAAGTATGTTATATTCCTATCACATAGAGGGATTTCGCTATATTCTAATTAGTAATCTGTCGAATTATATATGTCGACGATTCGTGGATATTGTTACTCATCGCCGTTCAATCGTTATGTCTATAGTCATTATGCGTATAATAATCGTATTTTATATGCGATAGACGGTAACAATAACTAGTATCTCCATATATAATTGGCAACTAGCGAGTTAGCTACGAGAAATTCTATGAATAAATTTGACATATTGCATGAGAGTGACACGGCCGGTCGCTCCGAAAATCTGAAACTCGATTAATACGCGTCCCATCTGTAGGTGAAGAGTCTATAAGTAGATATTGCGCGGGCAGACGTCAGTCATATTCGTATATTATTTATACTGACCTCATGGACACGAGACATCTTTTCGTTGCTAACGAGGTAACCGTGATGCATGTATAATATATCTAATATATTTTCATCAATCACACAAGTTCGTCTAGATCAGTACCGTTGAATGACGAAATGTAAAATATTTGTAATCCTTTTCTTCATTTGCCCCTCCCTCTTCTCTTTCATATTAATTTAATAGGTTCTTAACTTAAGGAATTGTATATTTTATATATCATTTCATATCTGCATATACCAAATATTCTCTCTCTCTCTCCCTCTCTCCTTCTCCCCACTCCTCTCCTTCTCTTGTTTGTTTCATATTTTTTTTTACTGTAATCAAAAATTATTTTTAAAACGTTAGTTCTTAAAATAAAAGTATAAAAATAAAAATCGATAAGAGAAAATTGAAAATCACACAAAATATATAATAATAGAAATATAATCTTTCACTTGTTCATTAACTTATCGATATATGCTCAAGTTTTTTTGCGATCTTTTAACATTAATCTATGCGAGATCTCTGAATGGCAGGCTTTGTAAGAGGAACGTCGCAGCTGCGTGTCTTTCGCTTCGTATTTTGCGCGCATTCCGATGAAATAAAACGAAATAGGCAAGGATAGCGGCCCGAGTCGAGAAGAAATATTTCGAAACGAGAAGATGTTAAATGAGTGAACTGTCCGACTGTCACTCCGCCTAGTACCTAGTTTCTCAGTGCTTGACGAAAATGTGAATTAAAACGATCTCGTGAATATATCATTTCCATCAAAAATACACATGTAACATTTCTTCAAGATGCGAATTTTTAGTATATTTGATTTTTTTATATATCTTTTGCATACAGCATATACATCTCTAATTAATCAATTAGATAGTCTGTAATATCATTTGACCATTTCGGAAACATTCATCAATCCATTTACCTTTCACAATTTTTACAAATGTTTGCTCATGTGCCTCTATACTTCTTGTGTTAATACTTAGTTAGTCTTATTTTTTACAAAGATATGTGTAACAGAATTATTAATACTGTCTTTAATTATACTTGATATAAAATGGAATTTAAATTTAACACAACATGACTGATTCTCAAAGAATCCAATATTCCTAAATAAGGAATAAGGTGATGCATTGAACAATTCCTTGTCCAGTTCTTTTTCGTCTTCAAGTTAACTGATTATTTATCAACTAGATGATTTACAAAATGATATTAGTGCGATGATACACATATGTATATTTATTAATAAATTTGATTCAAATTACCTCACAAATAATCGGTTGAGCAATTTTATCGAATAAACACTTTAAACTCTCTTCATTTGCATCAACGATAAAATTATCGCAATATTCATCATAGTTTTCTGCAACTCGGAGTCTAGTTTTGTGGCTACATAATAATTCCCATGGTAAAAAAATCATCTAACGAGGCTCAGCCGGATTGATAATACGTTTAAATCAATCCAGAGTTACAACATCGTATTTCTTACTGTTTACTACTTTTTTTCACCATCTGAAATAATAATTTATACGTAATTTGTTCTATTGATCCGAAAAGTATTAAATGTATTCAAGGCTGAACTGTGTGATGGCCGATAGGAAATAGATATATTTTATATGGACACACGTGCGCGCGTGCGTGCATGCGTGTCCTACCGTTTTATTATTGCCTATCATCACACAGGAAGGTGTATTCATTGAATTTTGAACAATTTTTGCGTAATGTTAGTGTAATATTTTTTCAATTTGCTTCTTCGGTAATTCATCATTACTCATTTATTACACAAATTTTTTGTCCATCCAATAATGATATTAGTCGGTACTATTCGCTTATGTACGTATTATGTTCAATCGATTACTTTGACTCGCTGTTCTTTGTAATTTAAAAGTTGATCGACATCATATATAGTAACATTTCGTTTGGTTAACTTTTGGATCATTCCTCCATTCTGTAAGGATTAAATTGTTATAAACTATAAGTAAATAATAACAGCCGCTTTCATAATCTCACGTCAGTTTATCGCTCAGTATTCACATACTTTGACCAAAGATAAGAATTCAAAAGTAATACATGGATTGTACCATGGCTTATCCATTCTCATAATCGTAACTGTAGGAAATCTTAAACTTTATCCAATTGGATAATTATTACTGCCTATTATCTCAGTCGCTCGTATCGTTAAAATTATAGAATATTCTGGATGAATCCACACATTTGGCTGATTTCTCTAAAACATGGCAACATAATTATTATATAAATTATATGGTGTGTGTGTGTGTGTGTGTGTGTGTGTGTGTGTGTGTGCGCGCGCGCGTGTGTACTATATATATATATATATATATA